ATGTTGATCCACGAGAGGGATTGGAAGGCCCCACTGCCTTTGCCGCGAGAGGCACCACGTTGGCGGCCTCGTCTGCAGTGCAGCGCGCATGCGTTCGTATCCTGGAGAGGCATTTACTGCTGATCCTGCTGCAGTTGAGGCAGTTTTACACTGGTCATCCGGAGTCTTCGTGAGTGTCTGGGGTTCCACCGCAGAACCCTGATTGTGTTGTTGCTTAGGAGAGCGTCGGTGGGGCAGCCACCTAATGCGCTGCAAGTCCCGAAAGACCTCCGGCAGAAGGCCCTGCACATTAAAGTGCAGTTGCGGAGTCGCGCGCAGCAGCAGAGGACACCCCCGGCGTTCATCATGAGGGAATGGAAGGACAACTTTTTGCTGCAAATGCAAGCACAGCCGAAACGCCAAGTACATCGATGAGCGAGGGGACAAGCGGGGGGCCAACTGCGCATACACTCTCCGCTGTGGCCACCGCCGATACGAAAGGCTGTTCGAGCGTCACTCGACAGAGCCAGATATCGTTAAACATGCCATACGTATGTCGTCAACTACTATACGTGGCTTTCCCAGGCACGTACAGTAAGCAGTAGAGTGTTATTGCTGCGCAGATATTCGATGACGCGTTGTTCTCCACCGTTGAAGGCTCCAAGGCCTTTAAAGGGCTCGCTACCGCTGCCGCCTAAAAAGGTCCCCTGGGGTCCCACAGGGCACAGCAGAGGGGCTCCAGCAGCAGCTGCTGCTGCTTCATCCCCCACGGCGGGAAGCAACGGCACATGCACTCGTGTTGTGAGATCCGTTGACTGTTGAACTAGAAGACCAGTTCCCCGACTCGCTCGCTCGCCTGATATCAGCACATGGGAAAAACAGCAGCGTGCAAGGGGCGACGGAGCATATGACTCTTTATCGATGCCAAAGGCCTTTATATTCAGGACCGGTTTGTCGCCCGCAACATTCTATGCAGCTGGTTGTTCCCGTGAACCCTGTGGGGTGGGGTGCAGCTGTGCTGAAGTGTCAGTGATCTCTAGGATAGGTGAGAAGGCGATCAATTGGCTAAGTGTTAAGTCAGCGTTGACAGACAGAGACGATAGTCCTCTTGGGAGTGCGCAGGGGCCACGTGAAGGATAGAGGTTCCCTTGTCATCTGCAACAACGGGATCCAACAGGACGGGGCAAGTCACTCTGCTTGCAACAGGATGCGCGTACCTGCGGAAGACCACACCCGCAGCGGGACATAGAAGAGATGTTCAACAGGAAAGCACGCTGGGGAGAGCAAAGAACATGCAGTAACCCCTTTTGCGACGTGCTACACCCTTAAGGAACTCCACCACCCCACGAGCAGAGCGGAGGCAGAGCCAGAAGGCTCATCAGCTCAACAAAGTAGCAAGAATACATTTCGGCAGTGCCTATAAGATGGAAACCGAGTATGAGGGCACGCCAGGTACACATGCACACCTTAAACCCTCCAAGCGGGTCCCCGGGAGCATGCCTATTTGCTGTACATCCCAGGCCTTCCCTGCACCCTTAAGAGCCTCCAAAAGGGGCGCTACACATTTTTCCCCCACTATCCATATTTCCTCTTCTAAACCATTCGGTCCTTTCAGGGAGGCCTGCAATACAGCGTAATGCGTAGAAGCGGAGACAGCTAGCGCCCTGTTTGCGGGGATTGTGAACGCGGTGGTTGTCCAGGCGAGGAAGAACCAGGGGATCTCCTTCCCGATAGAGAGGGGGTCGACATTTTCTTGTACTGGACGAGGCCCCATTAGCAACAGCTTGAAGTAGAGACAGTCTCTGGGTGTAGGCTTTAGCACGACTTCGCTGTCTGGAACCGTGCTCAGACTGGAAGTACTCCAATATACAGGGAAACGCGACGGAGACACTAGGCCCTACACAGGAGGCAGGAACAGAGAGGGAAGACATACAGACAAGCTGGCAATCACCTCACTGCCTCGTCAGCGTATGCCCATTGCACACCCCTACTGCGATGATGGCTGTGTATGCGCGTGTTTGCGTTGCTTTCGTAGTGCCTTTGTGCTTGTGCCTCTCTAGTTTTGCATATGCCTCCCTGTCCCGGCAGTCGTTTCGGTGGTTTCTACATGCTGCTTCCAATGCCCACATTGTTCCATAACAGCGCAAAGAGCTCCAACTCATGCGCCTTGAAGTCACTATCTAGCGTTTTGTACGCTGAGTCCCAGTGTGCCCACACGCCAAACCTACGCAAATATACAGCATATGGACACACAAACTGACAGAAGCAGATGTAAACGGACAAACATGACAGTACAGTCGTCTTAGGAAGTCTTCACGACCTGCGGGTCCGCGAGCAGACGGAAACAGATAGGGGAGAGACAGCATACAGACAGGCTTGAGGAACAAAAGGCTAGCATAGATAAGCATAGTAAGGATGAGTAGCAAGATACGAAGTGGCCGATGTGGTGCTAGGAGCGAAGAACTAGCTCAAGGAGAGGGCCAATTGACGCAAGAGATGTACTCGTTGATCTATCTGCACAGCGATAGCCAAGAAGACGCTTCGAGGTTCACAAAATATCCCATGCATATGCATGAGACTATAGGAATCTGCAGGTGACGCAAAGGCGAATGGCCTGCTGCGAGGCTCACACAAAAATGGCGACCAGGCGTGAGACTGGAGTCGAAGTATAGCGAGAATATTGCGAACACACAGTTGTGGGGAACCGAAAGAAAGAAACACCGAGGCAAAATATACACTGATGAATCCGCCTCCCCGGTGCCTTCAGCAGCAGCTGCTGCTGCTGCAACTGTTAGTATGAGACCCACCTCTGAAATGCCCTTTGTTGCAGCGAAGCAAAGTGAAGAGCAACTTGGCGAGCTCTGCTGCGCAACTCCTCGGAGCCAGCCCTGCCCCTGGGGCCGGTGCAGCTACCGCTTCCGCCTGTAACGCCCCTGCTGCTGCTGATATCAACTGTGGTAGTTCCTTCAGTGTTCGGCGCTTCCCGACCACCCCCTTGCATCTCAGTAGTGTGTGCTTCTGCTGCTCCATCATGCTTGGTGCCAGCAGCAGCTGCTGCAGCTGCCCTGAGCTCTATGGGCAATCCGTGGCAGTCCCAGCCCGGCAACATGTGGCAACAACGACGCTGCAACAGTGCCGCTCTGACAGCAAAGTCTTTCAAGCACTTATTAACTGCGTGGCCCATATGGGGTTCCCCATTCGCATACGGAGGGCCGTCCAACAACAGCATGGTGCTGTCACTGCTGTCGATACTGTTGCTTGGCGGAGCTACCGCGAATCCTAGGGAGTCCAGAATTTCATCTGAAGGGCTGTGTGCCCTCTTGCTGCTGCTGAAAGTGTTGCTGTTATTGTCCTTCAGGTGATGTAAACATTTGTTTATACACCAAATCTGCAGGAGTAGCTGCTTGTAGGTGTCGTGCCGGCCCCACAACCGCTGCACCGCAAGCTCGGACTTCCATGTTGCCCCACGAAGGCGCAGCGACGAGCGTGGTAGCAAAACAGTGGAGGAAAAGGCATGGGAGTTGCTGCTACTGTTTCTGGAGTCGTTGCTGTTGCTTGTGCTGCTGCGAGTGCGGTCTGGGAGGCTATTCGCATCTGCTGTGTTTCCCTTGCGGCTCGTCGACCTGAGAACATCGGTGTTGCTTTTGCGTCCAGCATTTCCGCCGCAAGATGCTTCAATACATCTAGAGCTGAGGAAGCCTGCACAGGCCCTTCCAAAGGTGTACCGCTGAAGGTCGTCCCTCGTGCGGTTCGGGCACAAGCTAAGAGAGGCTGTCTTGTGGCAGCCTGCTCCTGAAGCCACGGAACTAGTTGCTGTGTCTCGGGCTAGTGGAAGTCGGGGCAGCAGGCTTGAAGCAGCAACACTGACGGGAAGCGCCAGGACTAGTAGCAGCAATAACAACTCCGAACAAAGCCGCCCGAGGCGCCGCTGGTGGGAAGCTGGCTTGGGGTAAACATGGTGCTGCAGCTGCTGAAGTCTTGTGCAAAGGGGCCCCTCTGCTACCCACAGCCAGGACAGCTTTCCGCTGGGGCCCATCTGGCGTGTCACTGCCGACAGGGGCCCCCCATGTATCGCTGTGGACGCCAGTAGGCCCGAACCTTAGCGGAAATGCCGGAGAAAATGACTAAACAGGAACCTCAGGAAGGGAATGAGCCCAGTTACCGAAGTGTCTAACAATTGGCTCGTCTGTAGAGCCGACAAGACTTTGTCGAGAGCCTTGGGGCTGACTGGGCTTGTTTGCAAGGCGCAGTAGGGCGCTCCCAGAGTACCGCCTTACATCCATTGCATGATGTTTTTTTTATAGTATAGGGCATCCCGCAGTAAGAAGTTGGTTTTAAACCCCCTAACTTGTCTTCATCATACACCAGTGGGGTGGCACCCTGCGTCCCCGCTAGGTATCACCACTGTCCCGCTAAGCTGAACGCTTGATAAATGCAGTTTGTGTGCACTCATTGGAACCCTAAGGGTAATAATGATTGCANGCTAAGCTGAACGCTTGATAAATGCAGTTTGTGTGCACTCATTGGAACCCTAAGGGTAATAATGATTGCATAAAACTATGAAAGATGGTAATAGTGATTGCTTAAAGCTACGAAGAACGACGAACACTGAATTCAGGGCTTATGGGAAGGGAAGAAATAAGACATACTCCAAATTAAGACTGAGTTGAACCTGGTATGCAAAAGTAGACCCTGTTTCGGGTGTTATGGGTGCTTGGATTCAAGATCTATTGGTTTCAGTAGTGTTGCTTCTCCGAATGAAAAGTTTTCCCTTTGCAGTGACGGCCTCGTGTTAGTTCTATGCTATGGTATAACTCTACGACTTCTTGGCGTGTCCTCTACAAGCCTTGCGGTAGGGCCTGGAATTTCGCAGCGCTGCCTGCTTCCTTTCCTCCCCGTTTGCAGGAGCATCTGTTCAACGTGTTATAGTTTTGACTAGTGCTTGTTATATACGACTTCAGGGTTCATTGAACAACTGTAGGCAGGCTTGACTTTTCCGAAGTAGTGAAGGCTCCCCACTTGCTATAGCATGCTGTGTCTGAAGTTGTTACACTCGTTTCTACTTGGGTGCATACAGGCTAATTGGGGGAAAATAATTGTTTAACACCTCTCAAGAGTGTAGTGCGTGCGTTACAGAGGCTGCTCCGGTGCATGTAGCAAGGTGTGCGGCAGCTGATCACGTACCGCCTCATCTCTTCCCCAGCATCAGGAGCTTGCGCCGCGGTGCACGGAACACATGGAAACTTGAGCGAAGCTCAGCTGTTTTCGACGAACCCTTGTCAATAGTTTTTTTGACGCAATTGAACCTCACGACGGTCCACTGTTACAATAAGGGACAAACGATACATATGAGAGCACTGAATAATTAAGAGAGACAAGTGCGAGCTGCGGAACCAAGCCTCTCACCAGAGTGACCTGCTGTATAACACTGATTCATCTTGGAGGCGCCGTGCGCCATTAAATGTCAATGCCTTACACCTTCTCCCTGAGGTATTTTTCAAAGATTAAGCCTTCCCCGTACTCGAATACTAGAGACTGATTAGGCGGACGGCTGCGGGCTTCGTCGCACTGGAAGAAGCAGAGGCTGTACAGGCCATAGCAGGAACTTCTAGCGTGAACGCAATACCTGAATAGTGCCTCCATAACTGCTGACCGCTCAAATATGACAGTCGCCGCAATTATCTTCATTCTCTTTCCAATGTGAGCCGTCTCACGCGACTGCCGCTCTTGCCCAGCTCAACAACAGACGGTCGATTAAGTGGTGCGTCATGGATGGCAGTCTTTCGTGGTAGCAGACGAGGTGTACACTAAGCGCACTATGCTTTCCGGCTTTGATTTGTACAGAAACTTTGCGCAAACAGCACGAGCAAGCTTGCGCGCTTAATTATGCCAATGTGGAGTCAAGACAACACTGGAGCGCGGGTGTATGTCCGTTTGATGCTTCCCTCAACTAAGGGATTCGTCATCACTTCTCCTAAATGTCAGCCGGAAAACTAGGGGACGGCCATCTTGGCACATGCCAGCTTTGAAGCTAGGTGTTGGAGGCGGTCAACTACATATTTTATTTCGGTTGGAATGCCCACATTAAAATACTGCTCCCAGCCCAGCAAGCAGCAGAGCAGAAACAACCACAGGAAGGCTCGTGATGCAGAAAAAAAAGTGTGCCCGGCAGCAGCAGCAGCAGCAGGCGTGCGCCCCCCTTCGTCACTCATAAGTTCTGTCCTCTTTTCCTTTTTTGGAGACTCCCGCCCCTCTCTCTCTCTCTGCCATCTTTCACTTCCTCTTCCCCCACATTTTGTTAGTAACCAAGCGCATTAGGGCACGCGTACCTCGCGGAAAAAGGGGGGAGGGCAGACGTAGNACATTTTGTTAGTAACCAAGCGCATTAGGGCACGCGTACCTCGCGGAAAAAGGGGGGAGGGCAGACGTAGCAGGGTCTTTCTGGACGGTGCTACGTCTGCCAACATGCACTTCTGCCTTAGTGCAGGCTGGCTACTGACGGTCAAGGCGGTGTTCAACAATCGTGCACGGAGCTACTGTATGCAGCACAGAAGCTCCTGCTATGTTTGCAGGTAGGATTGACTTGCAGCGTTTGTAGCAGCACGATGTATGTAACGCTGGCTTTCTGGCCTTAATCAAGGACGCAAGCGACCTAAAATTGAGGTCAAGCCTTAAAGCAAGACCTTCCCAAAAGCATCTGACCCCCTTCCCCTGTCCTCAGGCATCCTGGGCGTTGAGCTCAGCGCCTCAGTGTTGCGGGGAGGAGGTAGCCTGAGGTGGGGTTGCACAGCTCCTCGCTGCGGCTGGTAATACGGTCCAGCCTCACGCGTGCACACAAGCAAGCTTCAACGCAACTTCCCTTGCTGCATGCTTTACCTCTGAATATACTTATAGGACGTTCGCATTTGCTTACACGCAACCTACCAAGAATAGGTGAAGGTTTCCTGTGCTAACTCATGCTACAATGTGCTACAACTCACAGCCAGTCACGTCCCCGCATCAGCCCCCGGAGCTTGTCCGGCTGAATCCAGGACGGCTGGAAGTTGGACTGAATGTCAACTGCTTTTTGCGAGCTCCTGTCTTGGATCGTTTGGCTTTACCGCCGGGTCCTCAGTTACGACCGAGAAGTTTCACTACCGACTTCAGACACACAATGCTAAGGTAAGCGTGAGGCCTCAAANGGTATTTAGTCGGAAACACCAGTGACCTACCAGATTAAACACGTGTTGCATGCAGTAGCCAACATAGAGCCAACGAGAAACCTTACCAAGGACGGGTTCGTGGGATGGCAGCAGTATGGAGTTCGAAATATCTGTATGTGGCAACACACTTTCAGTACAGTTAAAGTTAGTTGAAATGAATTATCAACATGTGAATTGCAAGAATGAAGAATCAAGTAACCGCAGCGCAGCTGCCCTTGCATGCGGGGAGCTGCTGCTGCTGCTGCTGCACCCCGCCAGCAACAGTAGCTCCCCACGCAGCATGCGCGAAGTGTTCCGATCTGCCGGTAGCGGGCGTCGAGGGGAAATACGAGGTTCGTGAGAGTTCAAGCCTTAATCTTCACTGTTTCGCTCTTTCAGATTCAACGAAAATGAGCGTTTCAGAGGACTCCCCCCTCGTCTTCAAGGGCGTCCTTGAGGGCCACACCGACTGGGTGACGGCCATCTCTACGCCCACCGTCAGGAGCAACACGATCATATCTTCTTCTCGAGGTCAGAATTGGGTTTTTAATCCCCTTCACTGCGGCTGTGTCTCCCGTTGCCCGTCTTCATACACCAGGCACGGAGAGGGATCCTCCGTGATTCCGACGCTGTGCTGGAGACTTGGGGATTATTGGATTAAATGTACCTGCAATTAGTAGCTGCTAATGTTCTGGTAGATGTTTTTTATGCCTCTTCGCTTTTGTGTAGAGGTTCGGCTTCGGGAATAGACTTCAAAGTCTGGCCCGTTCGGCGGTCACCTCTTCCTGAGTCTGCTGTGGGGTATTCGAGTTGTGGCCTGCATTCAGCAGTCTCTGTAGGGCATGGCTGGCGTTCCGGTTTATTGCACTGTGTTGGACTATATGCCCTTATCCACGTGCATGTGGGGTCGAGGAAGGACTCGGCATTGAGCGACATAGCTTGTGGCAACTTTGAACAGTTGGGGCCTACTCGGGATTGAGCCTGATGTTGAATCGTGCTTTGTCTGAACTAGGGTGTCAAGCATATCCTTCTCTTCAGGCTCCGCTGTGGTGGAGGCATGCTGGGAGGAGGCTACAGTGGCACCTACACTGCCGTTTCGGCGCACCTTCACCGGTCGCTCTGTTCTGTCCTGGTTTATAGAGCGGCGTTTCATGAGGTGTTCCATTTTTCCTTAACTGTCGTGCACAATTGCACGGGACACACGGATGACAAGAGATCCCAGCTCACTTGTAGACCTGATGGTCGNTTTTTTTTTATTGAGAGGCGAAGGATGACACGAGATCCCAGCTCACTTGTAGACCTGATGGTCGTTGCCGCGAGAAATCTCCGAGGGGCGCAAGGACGTCTTTCCTGACAAGTCCTCTATGTGTTAGTGCCGTGCAGTGAAGCTGATGTGAAAGGCGGGGTATTTGCTTTGCTCTTAGCGAGTTGAGCTGCGTAACGGCATGGGGGGTTTCTGCGTGTGTTTGCTATCGCAGACAAGAAGATTATCGTCTGGAATCTGAACGATTCTCCTGATGCTGAGAGCGTTGGCTATGCTCGTCGGGCACTGACTGGACACTCCCAGTGCGTGCAGGATGTGGTGATTTCAAGTGACTCAAACTTTGCCCTCTCCGGCTCCTGGGACAAGACCCTGCGCCTCTGGGACTTGAACGTAGGAGAGACCGTCCGCACCTTCCAGAAGCACACATCCGACGTCAACTCTGTCGCCTTCAGCGCAGACAACAGGCAGATCGTTTCGGGTTCTCGCGACAGAACCGTCCGTCTGTGGAACACGCTGGCAGACTGCAAGTACACCATTGAGGAAGGCCAGCACACTGATTGGGTCTCATGCGTCAGATTCTCTCCATCGCCCAAGGAGCCTCTTATCGTTTCTTGTGGTTGGGATAAGCTNGGGTCTCATGCGTCAGATTCTCTCCATCGCCCAAGGAGCCTCTTATCGTTTCTTGTGGTTGGGATAAGCTCGTCAAGGTTGGTCTCATTTGCATTTGCGCGATCGATTCCGGTGCCCAGCATATCCTCTCTGTTGGATGTCATGGACATGCATGTCAGCAGAGGGGCTACAGGGTCACCTATAGGGACTCACGCACCTTCACCAGTCTCGCTAATGCCTGTTTGTTGCACAGCGAGACATGTAAAAGGCTGCGATATATCCTCCTTTGCATTCCTGCAGAAGCAAGAGATGCGCATGTCACTCGGACAATCGCTTCCGATGCTTATATCTCTTCTTCGGACTAAAAATGTCTGCAGTGTAGTGATTAACTGATATATTGGGGTTTCTTCGAGAGGATTGAAATTCAGATGCGTTTGGTTTGAGGTGTTGACTGGTGGTTTCAGGTTTGGAGTTTGACGAGTTGCAAGCTCATGACCAACCTTGTAGGCCACACCTCAGTTCTGTACACAGTAACGGTTTCCCCTGATGGCTCGCTGTGCGCGTCCGGCGGGAAGGACGGAGTTGCCATGCTCTGGGACGTAAGCGAGGGCAAGCATTTGTACTCATTGGATGCGAGCTGCACCATCAACAGCCTCTGCTTCTCTCCTTGCAACTACTGGCTGTGCGCTGCAACAGACAAATCCGTCAAGGTAAGAACTCATATCAGTGCGCACAGAAGATGCGCGAGACATCTCCGATATGGAGTTATCAGTGCCAGAAGGAAGCGGCAATGAAGAGATATCATTCCTCGTATTGACTGCGGCTCCTCAATGAGAGAGAGTTCGTATGAAAACAAACGAAGTGGTGTCAGAGCCGCCATTCTCATTTCAGAGATAGTTCCNTGAGAGAGAGTTCGTATGAAAACAAACGAAGTGGTGTCAGAGCCGCCATTCTCATTTCAGAGATAGTTCCTTCGTACACTGTTGCCATTGAGCCCGAATCGTGTGCCACTTTGTGCAAGAGTGTAGCAGCAGCACGCGTGTGGCTAGATCTCTGATGCTTTTGCTTACTTTTCTGTCTTTGTGGATTCTTGCAGATCTGGGACCTCGAGAACAAGAATGTGCTGGATGACATTCACCCAGACGAACCAATCAAGAGTGGGATTCCATGGTGCACTTCTCTCAACTGGTCTTATGATGGCCACACTCTGTTCGTTGGAACGACAAGTGGCAGTATCTACGTATACGAGATCGCAGAAGAGTAAACTTCCCCATTTCCCGTGCACAGCCGCGCAGTGGCTTCAGCCAGTGCTGGGCTGCATTCGACTGAGGGCGGGCACGCCGCATACAGCTTTGTCTGTGGAGTGCTCGCCGGACGGAGGGCAGGGCCGAAGCAACTCGAAACTTTGCCGTATTTCAACGTGCAAAGAAGTAAATAGGTGGCACTTATTGTGGGAATATCTCCCGACGTTATTCTAGTTGTAGAACATGAAGACAAGTACGTTGCACTGGAAAAACAGCCGACGCTATTATAGGTGTAGAATATCTGTTAGGTCATGCATAGATAGGGACGGTGTAATAGCTCCCAGTTGCTTTGACTGAGCTTCAATTCGCGAAGCTAGGGCTGTTCGCCTCGACGTCAATTGGAGTCCACTCTGATGAGGTGGCCAGAGGATGGGATGGCTTGTGTAGAGTCAAAGTATACTGATATTTCGACTGTACGGGTGCC